GTAAATATAGGATTTAATCAATTATACTCCGTTTTATATTCCTGACTTAAATCTACACATATCTTATATCGAACAATATAAGTTTCCTATACAATAGAAAATACATTTATTACTCGAATACAAACATATTTCAATTATTCAACTATGATGGCAAACAAAACAGAAAATCCAAACGTCTGGGTAAGTCGTGTATCCAAGATGAGACTACACTGTCAGTTGCTATGCGTATGTCAGTTCAATGACATGAAGAATCCTATGTAAGCATTTCGTATGAGTTTGAAGCAAATTATACTTAATACTTAAACCACAGCAAAAAAAAATCGGTTATGTACTGAGGTGATTATATGTCTATTAAGGAGTCTGCTAAAGGGTGGAGTGGAAAACGGTCACGATCTATAGGTACACTGCTACTCCATCCCATACTCTCTCATCACGAACCCTCAACACTTAACCCGACATACATGAACCAGACACCCAAAGCGGAGAATAAAATGACAGTAGAAAGAGAGGACATGCTGTTTTGATAATGTTTTAAAAGTACATTAACCTGCTACTTAGAGTAAAATTTTAGTCTATATTATAAAGTTAAATTATTCTAATTGTTAGTTATACAATCGTCTACCTGTGTTGTGTCCATCGCGGTTAGCGAAACACAATTTTTAGCCCCTAGACTTACTGTTAAGCCTCCGGGGATGGGCGTTAAATTCGTAATTTTAGGCCTTAAAATATAATCTGAATTCTGTGCAATATGGTCGTAAGAAATAGGATACACACACACACACACACAATGAATAATGTATATATATATATATATATTCATGTGTGTCTATACACACACACAATGAATAATGTGTATATATATATATTCATGTGTGTCTATGTGCAAATACACACAAAAACATAGCCCATTAATTTTTCTTTCCACCGCTGGTTTCCAAATTTTGAGGTGCGCCCTCCTTGGGAGGGGCTTTTGCCAGGAGAACCCAAAAATAACAATGGTAAGAAGCAGAAAAAACGAAAAATTAAATTTTAGCACCTTGAATTTTCCTTCTAATACATAAGAAAAAAACTAATTAAAGAGAGAGGCAAAGAAACTACTGTATTTGCTGTTATTATCACTTGTGAAAATTATTCAGTATAACTGTGGGGGCCCCGAGAAAAATAATACTGAGTTGGGGGGCGCCATTACATAAAGTTTGGAAACCAATGCCATAAAGCATTACTGTATACAACAACAAACAATCAGATACAACGTAATGCGGAAACATTTCTTCATCCATACATAATACATTTCATTATATTTTGACACAGAAATTCGTGTATTAATGAAGAAATATTCCGAGCTAAACAATTAAAATTAGTCTTTCATTTCTAATTTTCATTTAAAATTGTGATTATTTTCAAAAAAACTACGCTCAACATTTGAACTTTAAATGACATAATTAAAATAAACGAATATATATATTTTCAAGATTGTATAATAAATTCTCGCGCATCTTTAGCAAAAATGTCGCTGTAATGACAAACTTAGCATTGCAGAATGTTATAACAGTAATCAAGAACCTGCAACTTTCAAAATTTTAGATATAAATTTTGACTTTGTTTGTCATTATTCTAAAATAAATGTCACTTACATGTGTAAGCAACTAACTTCACACCTTACAACGTTTGTTGAATTTCGCTCAAAGCACTCGAGAGACTTCAGCGCTAGCCTTCCCTAATTGTGAAATGTGAATATAGATGGAAGGCTACTCAATTCTTATCAGATGGTCGAAATGTATGGTTACCGTTATAACGTAACTTATTAAGATTGTAAACTATCAGTGTGGAAAGATTGTGTGTATTTAGTTTTATTAACACTTACCAGCTCATTCATGTTAATAACAGATAATAACATTCACATAATTCAAATTAATAGTCTGTGTTCAACATCACGTCGCAACTGTCCGAGTTTCTTAGTTTTACAAGTGGGCTTGTCATGAAGCTCTTAATAAAAAACCTCAGTTGTGAAAACTAACAGAAAGTGTTGAAGCATAATAAACAAAAACAAAACTGAATTTTAACTGCTGTGTTGAAAAATTTTGTCTCAAAAGAAAGAACCCATTTTCTCTGCTTTCGAAAAACAAATCATTAGCAGATTGAGGTTCTTCAAAACTTTTAGCACATTCTTAATTTAGATAAAATTAAATTCGATTACACATTTGCAACTAAACATAGCAGTGTCCGGATTACACATTTGCAACTAAACATAGCAGTGTCCGGATTACACATTTGCAACTAAACATAGCAGTGTCCGGATTACACATTTGCAACTAAACATTGCAGTGTCCGAAGATTACTGAATACAGTTCAAAAAAGCGTCCTGGTACTAAAATCCTGTGGAAGAATTAAAGATTACTATAGATAAAGAAAGGTATTTTCTATAGTACTATGCTCCCACTTTTTAAAATTAAACGTGAATTCTTCCCAAACCTAATCACTTTACATAAATCATGCTTTATAAGAGCTAGGGTTTGGTTTCTTCATAATTCATTCAGCTGATTCAGTTGCCCTAAATACTCATAACTTACGAAATTGATAACTAACATTAATATATTTTAAGTTCCTATTTTAAAATTTGCAAGATCTGCGAAAAAGCCCTAGTTCGACGAAAACGATTAAGAATATCGGTGGCTAACTGAATGTTGAAGTACTGGAACAAGTATATTATATGAAAACTTGTTTGTGCATAGTGTAAAACCTGATATGTTGCTCAAACGTGTAAATAAATAACTGGTACCACAGAATAATTATTTAAGAAACAACTGGCTTTTTTTAAATCCGATTTTTATAAAATGCGTAGAAATATTAGGAAAGTTACATTTTGTAGTTACAATTCATATA